GGGGACCAGAGGAATGTGGGACATGCACTGTAAAGTGCCCAACTCTGGCTCTGTGTTCCACCAGTGCCATAGTGTGTGAGGACACCAACCCTGCTGCCCTCACCCAATAATTCCCTGTGGTGGAGAGGTTCCCATGCAGCACATGGGCTGCTCATCAGCAGCAAAACAGGCCAGGCAACCTCTTCTGAAATTAGATAAGGGACAATTTATCAACAGTGAAATAAACAGGGATGCACCAGTGAGCATTGGTTTTTGCTCGCTAGTGGACCACACCATTAGCAATTGGCCTCATTTAAACTTAAATGCTTGGGAGTGCTTCAGCAGAAATAGCACGTTGTTAAGAAACGCAAACTATTCGCAATCCAGCGCTGGGCGAGCTCCTCACAGTCCTAATCCTTGGTGGAGGTGGTGAGGAGCTGGGATTTGCTCCTCGGTGAGCGTGAGCAGTGCCCTGGCCTGTTTGCCTGCGTGCGAGAGGTGACAAGGACAGCGTGAGACAGCGGCTTGGAGCTGTGCCCGGGTTGCTCTGCAGGTAAGGGGTATCCTGCGCGGGATGCTGTGATTCGAGGCGGTGCTGGTGCTGGTGCTGCTCAGCTGGCGGATGTGGTGGGACCCCGGGAGCACTGCTGCTGGCGTCACTGCACAGCAAGAGCTGATGGCTTTGAAGCGGAGCTGTGCGCACCAAAACCTGGCGGGGAGCTCCTGGCTCTGTGCTCGGCTGGGGGTGTGGTGAGTGACAGGGGATGGATCCAGTACTTGGGGCTGCTCGGACTGTGCTGCAGGTGCTGTTCTGGCTGTGCTCCAGGTCTCCATGGGTTTGCTCCAGGGCTGTTTTCCAAGGAAGCCAAAAGCACTGGGTGTTTGCTCTTGTTTTTGTGCTGGTGGGAGGAAGAGAGGAGGAGCAGTTCACTGTTCTGTTGCAAGACCAGCTCCAGGCTTCCTTTCTGCAAGCCTCGTGTCTCTGGGGTCTTTTCCTTGGGGGATAATTCTTGCAGCTGTGGGAATGCCATCTGGATGCAGCAGTCAGTAGATGCCTTATTCGTATGGATGTGCTGGAGCTGGGAGAGCAGGGTCAGAGCTGCTGTTGCCTGTGGTTTAATGTTTGGCTCCATGCGTTGCAGGTCAGTGCATCACTTCCAGCATCACTTTCAAACCTGCTTTTACTCCTCATTGGAGGTCAGGCACCCTGGGCTGGGCACCTGCAGGCAGGGGAAGGAGAAATGCAGCACACCAGCAAGTGCACATGTTCAGAACGGAAAGTGAGAGGCAGCAGGGCTGTGAGCAGTTATTAGTTTAGTGTGGGGTTGTGCTTGGGGCAGGGGACAGTGCAGAAATGTTGGAGGCCTTATGGTAGGTGAGGCAGCAGGCTGGAAGCTTTTAGAGCTGTTAAAAAGGGGATGAAACCCAGCAGGGCTGGTTTTGTGTTGCTGAGAGCTTTTCTGTAGCGCTGCATTCAGCCTCCTGGCTTCAGCCAGTTTGATTAGTGTATCTAATGAGCCTGATAGACTCGGGTTATTTAGGGTCAGAGGATTTACCAGGAAGGGGAGGAAGACTGCACTCTCAGTGTTCCCAAATCAAGTAACACAAAAGGACCCTGAGGCTGGGAGGGCTCTCAGTGAGCAGCACCCCCGGGCAGGGGCAGTGTGGATGTGCCCAACCTCCCTCATTGGGTGCAAAGGATGCTGTCGGCACCTCTGGCTGGGCCCAAGAACCTCTTCATTCTGCTGCATCAAGAAGTGTGTTATAATGAGGCTGCTTTGGGCTCTTCAGCATCTTATTTATCTAAATCTTGGCTGCATTGCTCTGCTGGGTGATTTATGGCACTCTTGGTGTCTGTCTCTGGTGATGCTGCTTGTGCCGGATCAGCCCAGCCGGTGGTTAGAGGGAACACAGTTCCCTTCACCCGGGTTATATTTTGGGAAGCTGCTGTTTTATCAAGAGAATAAGGTCTTGATATTGAGACTTCCAAAGTGATTTTGATTGCTTTGCTTTGGTTTTGTTTTGGAAACATTCCCACTCCTTCACCTGAGGAAAGAAGCTTAATTTCTATCAATGTAAGAAAAAAAAGTGCTCATCTCTTTGCATCTCTCCCTGACTGCTGCAAATCCTCCTTCCAGCCCCCTAAACCTGTTGATGTGCCAGAGCCCCTGACTACCCATGGTCTTTCTGCTTCCTTAATTTCTGTTTCATTACACGTAGTTCTTGCTCTGAAAAGGAACAACATGTACCTTGGAGCTACAGAGTTTTTTGGTTGTTTTATTTCAGGTCTCTTGCAGGTGCCAAGGATGCACCAGAAATTTTAGGTCAGGATGGGGAATAAATCCCGTTTGTGTGCTTTGGTGGTGGGGAATTCACATGGAACCCACTGGACGCTGCTCCCTCGCGTCTGCATGTGGAGGGCAGCAAGGTGCCTCCCACCGTATGTCTTCAGAACACTGCTAACCAAAACCAAAGCCTCTTGAGTCACAGAATCATTTAGGTTGGAAAAGACCTTTAAGGTCATCGAGTCCAACTGTTAACCCAGCACTGCCAGGTCCACCAGGCAGTTCTGAAGGGAGCTCCTGAACCTTTCCAGCATCTGTGTTTGAAAAACACAGGCATAGCTCCCAGTGCCATTTGTTGTAGTAACTTGGTGAGCCATTAATGCACCTACGTCCTGCCAGGGCTCCTGTGGCTCCTTCGACGGTTCATGACAGGGCACAGGGATTCACCAGTTTTAATCCTCCTTGCTGATTTTTAGGTTACTTTTTCTTCTGCTAGAACCAAACCCTGATGTGAGCAGAGCAGAGCAGGTCACAGTGAGGTGGGTGGTGGCTGGGAAGGCAGGAGCTGGTGCTCACCAGCACTGCCCTCAGTGATGAAGCCGCAGGGGCACATCTGCTGTCCCAGCCCATGGCTAATAGCTGGGAATAGCAGCCTTCCATATCACTTCAGGCCATGCCAGCAGGCTCTGAGCTCCACCAGCAGTTTTCTGATGGGGGATGAAGAGGAAAAGGCAAAGCTCAGCTGAGTGTGGGTAGGAGGAAAAGGAAGAACAGATGGTTCTCGGGACACACAAGCGCCTTCTCTTTCTTTTCTCAAGGGCACAGCCGTCGAGCCTCCCAGACGGGTAACTCTTGTTTGTACACCCACAGCGGTGATGGTCCTGGTTGTGGGCCTCTTGTGGTGTCTCCGCAGACACTGTGTGTTTGGTTTGTAGGTGGATGTCAGGAGCTGCGTTGCCATTTTTGTTTTGAACCAGGACGAGTGTGAAGGTGGGGGAGCACTGTAGGCAGCGATTCTGCTTTGGCTGTAAGAGCTGATGGGCTCCTTCACTCCACACGTCTCAGTTTGTCCCACCATTGTTTGGACCAATGGCATATTCTGTCCCCCATGGATAGAGCCAAAGGAGAAGCAGCATCACGGGGTAACATCCTCCCTTAACACCTGGATTTACACCAGTGGATCATCCCCATGAGGATGAGTAGATGCTGTCCCAGTAATGCCCTTCTCGTGTCGCAAGAACCTGTCTGCAGGCACCCCTTGCCCCAGAGGCTGAGGTCTGGACTGGCCAGGCTGGAGGTGGAGACCAGGAGCGTGGGGCTGGCAGAGGTTCCTGGTGTTTCCCAAGGCTGGTGAGAACAGAAGAGCAGCACCCACGCTATTGCCTGATGCTGGGAAGGAATGAACCTGATCCCAAACACTGGTGCACTTATCTAGGCGTATGGAGAAGCGATGTCCATCAGACACCACCGTTCTCCTTCCTCCTCCATTTCATATTTGTCATTTCCAGCTTTTGTGCCAGAGAGCTTGAATGTGGGGTAGGGAATCTGCCTTTCCTGGCTGCCCTGTACTGAGTGCTTACAACTTCTGTTTTCCAGAAAGCTCCCATGCAAACATCTCGTTTTACCATCTAGTGGCCAGAGATGTTGGGCTTTGATATTCCCTTTTACTCCTCAGCTGGAGGGGCGCATGGCATCCAGTGCTGGGCTGCTCTCCTCACCAGTTCAGAGAGGGGGTCACTGGGGCTGGTTCTTGCTACTTAAGCCCCAGAATCCTTTCTTTGCTGGCCATGCACCTCGCTGGGGCACTTCTCCTGCTTCCTTAGTGCTGGGGCATGTCAGTCTTCATCTGATCAAATAGTATCAATTGTAGCTGTTAGGGCTGTCAGCCCTGCCCACACCCCCAGCTGCATGGGGTGTTTTATTTATTGGGGTTTTTATTTAGGCTTTGAAATACCTCTTTTTGAGGGAATTGGAGCTTTCTTCTTCTGGTTGAGAACTGTTCAAAGCAGACTCCCAGGTGGGATTGGTTCTAACATAAACGTGTGTCAGTGTTACCAGGGATATTCTGTGGCAGGGCTTTCCATGCCCCTGCCAAAGGTCTCAGTTAATGAGATGATTAGTCTTCTGGTCAAGTAACTATCTGCAAATAAAAGCTAGGAGTTGAATGTAGCTGCTAAAATGCTGTTGCTGGATTCAGTCTGTGGCACAGAGCAGGAGGGATCCTTATTTAATTAAAATCAGGAACATACTGTACTGTACTCTCTCAGGGTCAAGGAACAAAAGAGACGTACACATAGTAAGTAGCAAAGTGTCCTTTCAAACCCCTTGAGCTCAGCCCTGGGGAGCTGTGTTTAAAGGGACACTCTCAAGATAACATTTGTGATTTCTCCTTTTCTTTCTTTCCCCGTATTGCTCTGTGGATTGATGCTGAAAGCGCCCCTCTGACTCTCAATTTTCTTCTTACCTGTTCTTCATCAGGACTTTTGGATGCCAGAAATCCCTGTGTGCATGCCCAGTGCCTGAGCTGACACTGCTGGGGTCCCCAGTTAAAAGGCTGGAGGCAGGTTGGACCAGGGCTGAGCTACCATCCCAGTACCATTGCAGGACTGGGGTTACTGGGAACCCCTTGGGAGGGGGAAGCACTGTATCTGTATGGTTTCTTCTCAGTTATCAAGGCTTATGCTTGCTTGGAAGTTGCCACCAGCCTAACGAGCTGTTGTGTGTTTGTTCCCGCAGGACGTTGCGCTGTTGGAGTACCAGCATCATTCCAGGGATTTCGCTTCCCACCTCCCGCCGGGGTCTATCATGCAGCCACAGCGGCGGAGGCCGTCCCTGCTGTCTGAGTTCCAGCCGGGCAATGAAAGGTACCAGCTCCCTGCTTCCCCTGGGATATGGGCATCCCGTCTGCATTAGGCAATGTTTAGTGCAGCGCTGTGGTGTGGAGGAGAGCTGTGAGAGACCTGGGCAATGTGTATCAGTACGGACTGTGCTGAGCCTTTGTGCCAGTTTAGCTTCCTTGTGCTAGTGCCAGTGGCACCTTTGGCTTCTTCATGCACTTTAAAGGCATCCTAAAAACACCAACAAACCCAGCCCTCTCACTCCTAGGGAGCTATACATTGCTGTAACTGGTTGCATTGGCTCTCTTAGAGTAGAAAATAAAGCTGTGTGGTTGGGTTTGGGCTGTGGCTCCCGAGGCCGAAGGGAGGAGTGAGAAGAGCTCATTTCCACTGCTTGTCTCCGCTTCCTCTTCTGCTGCTCTTCCTCCCTGCTTTCGTTGGCTTTGTTTCTCTTCCTGCATTCCCTGCACAACTTTCTCTGAGCAGATTTTTCCTGCCTGCTCTCCTCACAGCTCTCCCTGTGTCCCTGTTTTCGTTCACAGCCTCCCGTGGGAGGCTGGCAGTGTTTTTGGGTGCTACTCAGACGTCTAAGTGCTGTGTGGCTGGAAATGCTGTAGATGCTTTCACCACAGGGGCTGATCTCTTCTGAAGGCCATCACTCTCACTCTCTGTTTTGTCTCAAAATGCTGCCCTCACAGTTTCTCTTCTGCATTTGATACTTAGTGGTTTTGGAAAAAAATGGCCTGGAAGCAAAATAAGAGCCTTATGCAAAGCATTTTTTGATGCTTATTCCTTAGTTGGGCTAAGAATAAAACCAGTGCAGAGTCAAGAGATGAATCTGGTTCTCTAAAATCATGACTGTTAGGGGAGAGGAGAAAGACCTCAGGGTGCTGGATGCATAAGGGCATAGCTGCAGACAGGACCCTCCTTTCCTAGTGGCATGGATTTGGTGCTCAGCAGAACACCCTGGGAATCTGGAGGCAAAAAGCAACCTCCAAAGTTAGTTTTGCATCTGCCTTCCTTGATGTGCTCTTCTGGATTGTGCCTGTGGCACCTGCATGTACAAGAGGGTAATGTCAGTTCTGATGTTGTGTAATTTATTGCAGCGTGTTACATTGCTTTGCTTTGATTTCTCAGTGCTTTGATTTCTCAGTGCAGAGTAACACTGTTAACTTGGAAGTGGGTCAGGTTCAGCTAAATCTGGGGGAGACGGGTAAAGAGAACCCAACAACATATTCCTGCCTGGTTTTGCTTTTCACACCACTTACGGTTTGCAACATGGAGAACCAGTTCTGCTCTCCAGTAAAAGGAAGGTTTCAAGGTCTCAATGTGCTATTTCAAGTAAATATATCTTGGTTCTTCCATGTAACTAAAAAAACCCAACTGCAAGCCCTGGTGTCTGCTCTACCACATGCCAAGTGTGCTGTGGTCTTCCAGGCATCTCCCTTTGGCTTACAAATGTTTCAGACTCTCCAAACTTATTTCTTGTGTTGACAATCACATGAATGTGGGTAAATGTTAATTGAGGTTGTCAGGTCTTAGATGCACATCCAAATGCTTGCCGTGGTTACTTTGCTGTCAACCTGCATGGTGAAGGTTTGGCATGCTATAAAAATACCAGACTCAACTTATATTTCATCCCTTTAACCTGTAACATCTGAAAAATTGAACTTTTGCAAGAGCTATGCTGAGTAGTAAAGCTAAAAGTACCATTGAAGTTCAGCCCAGGTGGCATCAGAATGCTGGGGTAGGGACTCATTAAAAATGGGGGCATCTGGGGTGCAGGTTGGGGGGGGTGTCTGCAGACATTGTCAGTCCAATGTAATAAATTATTGAAGTCATTCAGACTGGGAGGCGTTGGGGCTGGGGAGGTGTTAGTCTGTTTTGCAAAGCCAGCTACTGATTCTGAGCATCTTTAAGCACTACACTCAATCTTTCCTATGGGGACATCTTTGTGGTGTGAGGATAGTGCTTGGGGTGGTGTAAATGGAGCCTTTAGGGTGCTTGGTTTGCTCACCTGAGGGTTCCTCTGGTGCTCAAGGGTGAAGATGCTGGAGCGTGTGGAGCAGGGTGGGTTGGTCATCAGTGCCCACCCCAAAACATGGCTCTGGCTTTGCTGGGTGCAGAGCGAAGCCTGGGCAGGGGAGGGTGGTGAAAGCACAATCTCTGCAGCTGAGTCCCCTTGGCACATCTGTAAGCACTTTGCTTTGTTCCTGGGCTGGGATTGATGGGTTGGAGCAGAGGCAGCTGGCACTCAGCATGAGGGCTTGGGGAGGAGGCAGTACCTCCTTTGACCAAAGGCAAAGTAATGTCCTCAGTGTGGGCGCAGGAGGGTAAACAGGGGGAAGCACAATGTCTGAAAGGTAGCCCCTTACCATGGTTCCCTGCCTGATACCCCCCCCCCCCCAACTTGGTAAACAGTGGTGGTGGGTAGGAGACAATCTTGCCCTTGAATCTTGTTTCAGTGGAGGGGGATCAGGCTGCTTGATCCCACCTGCCCCGTGGTGGCTGCTGTTCACCCTGGAAAACCATAGGGATTCACTTTGTGCTGGTTTATGGGTTTGTCCCCCAGTTCGGGCAGATCTTGCTGTCTTTGCATGTGGTGTTTGAGATGCAGAAATCATTCACCCTTGCTTAGGTTGTTTTCCTCCAGCTTTGCAGGTGTTGTGTCTCTCTGGCTGCAGTTTTGCTGTAGCCTCCAGGCAGTGGTTAGCTGTGGTCTGGTGAAAAGGGAGCACGCAGTGAAGTGTTTCACCGTGGGCACAGTGTTGTAGGGATGAATCAGGTGTTGGTGGCAGAAAGCTGCTGAGTGGTCACTCACCAGAAGGAATGGGGTGCTGAGATGGTCCCACGTTTTGGGGCTCCCTGTGCAAGAAGCTTGTTGGATGCCAGGCTCAGGCAGCTGGATGTCCCCTGGGAGAACCAGTTCCTGCAGTGTCCCACCATGGTGGGCTCTCCTCCCTTGGGGGTGATGTGCCCCCTGCTTATCCTGCATCCCAGTTCTGCAGGAGGTGCTGGGGACTTGGCAATAGCCGTTCTCCAAGTACTTCAGCCCTGAGAGTCATTGTCACCCCTTGGTGGATGGGTAGAGACTTGAACTCCCTGTTGCAGCAGTTCTGTCTTGGAAGAAGGCAGGAAAACTTGAACCTCTCCAATGTGTTGCTGTAGGAAAGTTGGCTGTGTCTGTCTGCAGGGATGTGCTGCTTTCCTTGATGGTTTTTTTGGTAGCAGGCTTTTTCTTGGAAGGATCCACAGACTTCCCCTTAGCTCGCTCAGCTGTGCCAACTGGACTGCAGGAGCGAAGAGAAGTATTTCAGGCTTTGCTGTTGGTACAAGTTGTACCATGAATACTTGCAGAGGAATGTCCTGGCAAGGTGACAAGGATTAGGGTTTTTTTCATTCCCTCTCTTCTATATATATATATATATATATATATATATTTTGGTCCACAAAAGAAGTGAGGAAAACTGGGTTGAGTGTTAAATGGCAGGTGCCAGCGGAGTGAGGGCTCTGAGAAATCAAGGAACTGTGTTTTCCTGACTTCTCATACGTGTTAGGATTTTCAAGCGAGGAATGCTGGGGTGGATAATGGCTCCTCTGGCAGAAAACATGGCTGGAAATAAGCGCTGTGCCTGTTAACACAGTGTATTCCACCTTCATCCAGAGTAAGATGAGTCACTATTTTTATAGGAGACTGTTTCCCACTTTGGGAGACCGTGCTCCTTTTCCAGAGCCTCTCTGCTTAGCAGTCATGAGGAGTTTGCCTGGTGCTGATCCCAAGTATGACATTTAGGATACGTTAAGCAGCTGCTGTGTTTCTGCAGCCATCCGTGATAGTTATGTGCAGCATAGCATGAGAGCAGGGCTAATTACTGTGCTTACTGAATGTGATGAATCCTGCTGGCTGGGGAGCACTGGGAAGCCAGGGCGGCGTTCCTGGCCGCTGGAATCACATGCAGCTCTTGGTCTTCATCTGTGCTGGGCCAAATGGCACCAAGTGCTCCCGAGTTAACAGCGCGGCCGGTCTGGTTTTATTTATGGTCTTTAATTAAGTTTCCGTGGTTAAAGGTGACCCTTTCCTCAGGAGCCAGCAGTGGTGCAGTGAGGTCCTGCAACCGGGTGTCTGTGGGTCTGTTCACACTCAGAAGGGTCTGGGAGCTGTGGGTTTTATCCCTCCCCATAAATGAACATGGGAATACAGTGGCTGGAAAGGGCAGATGCTGCTGTGTAGACACGTGGTGACAAGCCTTGTCTTGCAAGAGGCCTCTGCTCTGGTGGAGGCTGACGGCGTGTCCATGGGTGGCGTGGAGGGTGACCGGGGTGCCACAGAGATACATGAAGATGTTAAAGTGGGTCAGTGTGGTGAGGGGAAACCTGGGCTGTGCCTTGGCTGGAGTGAAGCAACTTTCCCGTGTATGATCTTCATCCAGATTTATTGTGGGAGAGGAATGGTGATCATGGCACAGTTTGGGTTGGAACCAACCCCCTGCCATGGGCAGGGACACTTCACACTAAACCATGCCACCCACAGCTCTGTCCAACCTGCCCTTGAGCACTGCCAGTGATGGAGCATTTACCACTTCTTTGAGCACCCCATTCCAGTGCCTTACCACCCTCACAGTAAAGAACTTCTTCCTTAAATCTAACCTGAACTTCCCCTGTTTAAGTTTAAACCCATCACCCCTTGTCCTATCACTACAGTCCTTGATGAAGAGTGATGTAACATATGCAGCAGGTATGTCTCTGAAGCCATTAGTTCAGGGAGGGCTTCCAGGACTACCAAGAAGGCTTTCCTATGGGGCTCCAAGTTTTGGATGCCTGCGGAAAGCATGTGGGGGAGCTTGTGGAGAGACACAAGTACTCCTCCTTCTCCTCTTGAGTGAGGCAGTGCCGTTGTGTGGCAGTGTTAGAGCTTCTGCTGGTCCTTCCCATGAATAATTCAGGCTCCCTGTATGGGGATCTTCCATGTGCAGGTTTCAAATAAAGCATCTGCTCTCTTCTAAATTGCCGTTGGCTCTGAAGCAGTTGGCTGAGGGGGTTGCATGGGGTGGCTCAGGCACAGACACCTGCCCTAGTGTGGGGATGCACAACCAGAGCATCACAAGAAGGCATGAGGGACCGTCTGGTCACAGGCCTTGCAAGGACCTGGAAGTCCTTGGTGAGCTGAGCATCCTGCTTGAGGCTGTCCCACACCTTTGGCTTGGGAAGACTCAATCCTGCTGCTGGCAGACGTGTCTGAGGGTGTGGGAGCTGCACCTTCCCCACCCAGACAGGGTGTTCTTCCCATGGATTCCTGTTAAGTCGTAATGGCTTTTCTCCCTCTCCACCTGTATGACAGAGGGAATATATCAGCTGGCCCTGTAGGTGTTTTTCTAGCTGTCTGGTGGCAGGTTTGCTCCTACAAACCCTCCAGTTTCTCTCTTTAACAGGTCTCAATTTGCCCAGTCTCCCACTGCTGGCTATCATTAACTGTAAAGGGGTTGCTGAAACCTCTGACAGATCTTAGCGTTGGCTATAAATAATTCACTTCAACACTAGTGGTTTTCTGTATTACTTGCTCTCAAAAGCATTGTATCATCTGTCTGTACCTGTGGGGGCTGGAGACTTATAACAAACCTGGTTTTGGAGACAATTTCCCACCAAACCATCTCATCCAGAGGAAATACACAGCTGTAGCCAGGTGATTGTTGTGGTCCTGGTTCCAGGAGGCAGACAAAGGCAGTTTTCCAGCCTGGTTATGCTGTTTGGCTCCAGGATGTAGGGAACAATATTTGTGGATGGGAGGAAAACTTAAAACATGCCCTTGCTGGGAAGTTGATGGGGGCAGACTCAGGGTTGCTGCTGTTGCTTTGTGCCCTTGGTGCAGGAAGCAGTTACTCCTCTTGCTGCCGCCTTCTGCTGCTCAGCTGATGGAGAGATGGGGAGGTTTGGAGAGCAAGGGAGGGCTGTGCTGCTCTGAAGAGCCAAGCAGTGAGTTCCTGAGGTGCATTAATGGGGTGGGAAAGTCCTCTTTGGCTTCTCAGTGTTTGTATTTGCCTATTTCCCTGTGATTTGGCTTCAGCAAAGTGAAGATGATAAAGGTAAGATGCATTTAGATCTCATCAGAGCTGCCCTTACAAGCCCCCAGGGCAGCTCAGGGTGTCTCATTTGCTCCTCTCTCCCAGCAGAGATGCTCCTCTGTATGTACCCAGCTAGCACTCAACCCCCCTTTTCCAGCCCATCTCATACTCTGCTGGTTCTGGTGGTGGTATGGATGTTTTCTTGGATTCCATTGCCTGCTGGAGTGAGCTGCAAGTGCCCCACACTTCGGATTACATCTGCTCATACCTTCCTAACACGTCGCATGAATCTGCTGAGGAAGCTGCCCCAGTGAATGAGTAACGCAACTGGTAGGGTGCGATGAGTGTCTCAGATTAGTAATAACCCAGAGGTCTAATCTTGGGTTGTCTTGGTCTTCTGGACTGGGCCTGCCCAAAGCAGAGCTGTACAGGGATGGATGGAGGTCAGGGCAAGCCCTGGGCACCCAGCCTGGTGCGTCAGCAGCGCTCACGCTGCTTTCAAGTAGTTCAGTGTTTGTGGCAAAGGACTGCGGGTGAAGATCAACCCGCCCCACTTCGTAATTAGTGCTGGCATTTGGGTTATTTCACTTAATCATGCGTAACTCCCATGCAATTAAAACCACTCTTTCCCTTCAGCAAAGTAGGAACCTCTGGAATAAACCAGCCAGGTGGGAGCTATGTGGAAAACGGAGCAAAAGCCCAGGCTCAGCGTAACGGGAGGTTCTTCAGGCAGGGAGCAGCATCACTGCTGTATGGGAGTCTGTTGTAAAGAGCTCGCTGCAGGTGTGGATGTAAAAGAGTAAAGGTGTGAAGGCTTCAAGCACTTGTATTTGCAGCCAGGACAGGCTGAGTGGGTTGTGTCAGGCAAAGCCATCTCGGGAGCGGCTGGAAATTCCAGTGGATAAAGTTAATAGCTGTTCCAATGGATGTGGAAATGGAAATAAAATAGCACCCTATAACATTGCAGCTGCTTTCCCCGCCACGGCCCCTGCCTCGCTCTAAGTGACTGCCTTTGTAAAGCTGAGTGTTGCTCTTATCTTAGAAATACATGGTTTTTCCTTGAGCACAGCAGTTGTGTCGGGTTCCTGACAACTGCAGAGATTTCAGAGCCGTCCAGTGTCCGTGAGCAGCTTCTTGGTAATATGGCCTTAAAACAAAGGGGGAGAAGAAGTGAAAAGAAATCCATGTGAGTTTTAATTGCCTCGGCACAGCAGAGCCTTGGGTGTTGGAATAATTTAGCACCTGCCCAGCTCAACAGTTGCTCATTGTTCCTGTGTTTACAGCAGAGCCCGGAATGCCGGCGTGCAGCTGCGGGCAGGGCCTGGGACAAGCCAGTGGGAAACTTGAGAGGTGCCAGGAGGTATTTCTGGGCTTGCTGGGAAAAGATGAGGATCATTCAGCGTGAAAGCGCGTGCAGGTGAAGCGGGCTGTGCATCAGTGCCAACTTCAGGCACTGTTTGCTGTGCGAGCTGTGCGTTCGCCCTCTCGTAGCTTGGAGTTGGAGTGGCAAAAAGGCAGTGCAGGAGGCTCTCTGCTCTCCCATCCCCTTTTAGTGGGGAGGAGGAAGAGGCTGAGCCAGATTCTGTTTCTATGTGTCAGCAGCAAAGCTGCTGCCCTGAATCCCAGCGCCGGCCACATGTGCCAAACCCACAGCAGCAGAGTGAGGCGAGCACATGCTCTGTGCCTGCTGCTGATGTTTCAATAAGGGCTTTTTATCCTCATGTGGTTTATCTTGCTTCCCTGGAGCAGGGATGAGGTGGTTGCACTGCAGAGGGCTTTGCTCGATGTGGCCTTCACCGGGGTTCCATCTCTGGCTGTGGTCCAGCGCAGTTACAGCCATGGGGAGGACTTGCTGGCTTCAGAGGTCCTTCCCTTCGTCATCCCCTCTGGGATATTTAATGAGGCAAAAATTAACATCAGCAGTTGCAGTTATGGGTGGAGACCAAGCCATGCACAAGACCCCCTGTCTCCCATCCTTGCTGTTAACAAAATGTGTTCCCCTTCTTCCTCCCCTTTGAGTAGCTTCTAGCGCTGTTTAGTTTGTCAGTGTTTGGTAACTGGGGAGGATCCTTCCCCACACACCTCAGGAGAACTTTAACAATCTTGTTCAAGACAAAAAGGAAAAAAACCCCTTTTTTTAGTTGTTCACAAGCTTTGAATCTGCTGTGCTTCATCTTGGGTTTATGTTTTTAAGAGACACTTCTGCCTGAAGTGTTAAAAACACACCCTTGGAGCTGCTGCAGCAAAGCCGATCCTTGGGCATAGTAAAAGGTTTAATGTATTTTTGTAGGATCCTTTTACAGTTCCCACAGGAGAATCCTGCTGGAAAAATAGAGCTGAAAAAAAAGTTTTACATTTGTTTAAAAAGAAGGAAAAACCAACCCCAGTTTCCAACTGCATCACACTTACCAGGTGAAAGATACTTGAGCCCAACGTGACCTGTCAGTGCAGTTGCTATCACTGGATAATGTGCCTTTGCAGCTTGCCAGGTCTGTGTTAGGGATATGTGACTACATGTGCCTGTTTTCTTTCCTCCCCCATCCTGGAAAAATAAATCCCTACTGTCTAGCCATGGAGGAGGGTGCATTTTTTCCCCAGCATATAATCTTTGCTATTCCTATAGAAGATACTAAATATAAACAGTAGTGCAGGTACCATTGGCTCCCTTAAACCAAACGTGGCAGGAGGGAGTTCTGCCTGGCCTCAGGGGGATATATGGGCCAGATTTGAGGATTCTGTAGGCTCTTGGCCTTATTCTGGTGGCATGACAGGGCAGGCTCAGACCTGCAGCCTGGTTCACTTAGCCCTGGTGTAGGGACAGGAGGTGCACTGTGCCCAGCAGCCGAGCTATGGAGCTGTGCGTCCTGGATCCAGGGCCATCTGCCTCCCCTTGAGCCCTCTGTCCTCCTCGAGTGCCTTGCAGTCACAGAACAGAGGTGGTTTGCTTTCTAAAGGCTCCTTCCTTTCCCTTTGTCCCCAGATCTCAGGAGTTGCACCTGAGAACAGAGGCGCATTCCTATCTCTCTGACCTGACCAAGCCGTCGGACTTGGAGTTCATTGAAACCAAGAGGCCACGTCTGGATCTGCTGCAGGACCCCCTGGTGCGGCACTCGCCCCTCCTGAACCAGAGCCAGCAGGGAGGCACAGAGGATCTCTCAAAGGTAAGGGGTGTGGGGTGCGTGTCTTGGGATCCCCTTGGCTTGTATAGAGCAGCCTGTGAGGCTCTGAGCTGCTGCTGAAATCAACGTAGATGGCAGTTCCTGATGCATCAAGCAGTGCTTGGTGGTGTTGGATGATAGTCACTGAGATGGGGTGAGTCCTGTGGGGAAAAGAAGCCTGTCAGCTTTCCCCATAACTGTCATAGCCATGAGCTTGCATTTACTGTGTTATTGGAGGCACCAGAACAATTTTGAAGCTCCTATAGGCTGAATTGGGGTTGGTCACGTCTGGCTTCTCTGGATACCGTGCCCTGATTTGATTTTTACTTGCCCTTTCTCATTCCTCACATCTCTTTATTTAATATTTGTGTTTGAAGGGTTTGAATCGGTTGCTGGTGGTTCTTTAATACAATCTTCCCCAGGAAAGCCTCCCTTGTCTCATTTAACAAAGCAAATTGTTTACTTGCAATTGTCCCCTCTGCACATGTAATGAATGTCGCAAAAATAAATCCCTTGCTTGTGTGCCTATTTGGTTTTACTTTAATGCTCTGTTGGGGTAAATTGTGTTTGATTTTTACCTGGAGCTTGGACATGTTCCTGGTTGGCAGGAAAATCTTGCTGGGAGCAGCTGGTTTGTGCTGCCAAGGAGAACTCCAGTGCTGTGAGGGTTAATGCAGCTGCAGGCTGGGCTTGAGATGTCTGAGCCCTCAGTGAAATGAAGAGGAAGCTGCATCCTCACCCAGGGTGAAGGGATGATTTGCTGTATTGCTGTGGAAGCAGATTGAAATAACGTGTGGGCAAGAAAGCTCTTGCTTGGGAGTGCAGTGAGGATATTCAGACATCTCTTTACCTGTACAGAACTGTGGGGCCCTATGTGAGGTCCCTCTGAGCTGTCTTGAGCAAGAAGGACTTTTAGTTTTGGAGTAGTTCAGATGCCAAAGGAGGCCTGGAGGAGAGGGCTACAGGAACAGCCGATTGGGAATGGTGAGCTGGTGCTGCAAGGGATGGAGCAGTTCATGTTTGAACTCTGAGACCATGGGAAACGCACCAAACACATCAGCTTGCTCTCCTTCAGCTCCTGATGGTGTGTTGCCTTGGAAAAGACGCCTCTGAGGTGCTGTGGCCCTTCTATGTCCCATCTTTGCTGCTCCCTCTGAGATGCGTGTTAATGAGGTGATGCTATGATTAGCCAGGAGCACAGTCTCCGTGCCCCCAGGATGTGTTGTGATGGCTCTGAACCATAGAATGTACCTGGGGGTGCTGGGTTGGGTGGCTGATGGGGAAAATAAACTGTTGAAACCAAAAATATCCCTCCCCAAAGAAATGAGGAAACCAGGACAGCTTTTCTGCCTGCACATTATTCCCATCAGCAGTTCTGTTCTGCCTCTCAGCAGAAAACCACATATTGTCTCAGCTATTTGTTTCTAATAGGCAAAACTGCTCTTGAGGCATTAGTTGGTCAGTTTAGGGGCTGCATTTGCTTCTTGATCTGTGACACCTTTCCAAGGCTTACATGCATTTTATGGGGCTTGAAACATTTGTTAATGAAAGGGAGGGAGAGGGAGAGCTGTAAGGTACAATTCAGCGAGACAAGATTGTGCTTTTAGTGGGGCCATTTGTAATTTCAGAGTCTGGAAGGAAAGAAAGTGTGGTGTCTCTGGCTGGGGAGAGCCTAAATGGAGCTGGGATTAGTTGCTCAAAACTAGCAGGGGCTGCTTTCAGAGTGGGTTTGATGGAGCTCACTCCAAGACTGGGATGATCTTGGTGCCGTTCAAGTGGCTGGGAGCAGAAGGCAAGTCTGGGGTGTAAGACAGCCATTCTGAAGGTGTATCTGCCTTTCCATCTTGGGAAATTGGATTAATAGCGGTCTTACGGCTTTATTCCTGAGCAGTCACCTTCAGACTAGTTTATAAATGGCTTGTGGATGTTAAGGTTGTGGTAAAGCTCCTGCATTGCCCTGAGTCCCAGTGTACTCAAGGAGCTGTTCTGGGTGCACTGGTCCAGAGGAAATGCAAAGAGCTGAAACTTGTCTTTGGCAGCAAGCTCTGGACGCTTGCATATCTGGGCTGTTTGTACATGTAAAACTGCTCCTTGCATCCATGCTAAGCCAGCAACCATTTGGTTTGGCACTGGGCTCTGATGGTGTAAATCACCACGTAAGAACAGCTGATAACGACCTTCCAAGAGGCTGTGCTGAGCTCCAGGACTGCCACAGCTCCTCTGCCTGATGTGACCTCCTAAAACACCACGTCAACGATGCAGCCCATCCTGGCAGCTAATTCCCACCCTGCTTCATCCGGCCCACGCTCCTCTTTGAGCCGCACTGTGTTTTCCTGCTTGTTCACCGTGTCCTTGGTTCCTAGTGTTACTCTGCAAGCTCTAGGTGAGCACAGAGCCAGAGGTCTGCATGGACTAGAGTGGTGGCACATACACGGTGGCAGGACATGTGTCCTGGAGTGGTGGCACATACACGGTGGCAGGACATGTGTCCTGGAGTGGTGGCACAGACATGGCAGCAGGACATGTGTCCTAGTGACCAGAGCTGAGAGAGGAATTTGCTGTTCCATCTGTGCTGCTGACTCAGTGCCTGACGAAGTCGTTCAATGCCTTATCTAGGGCAGCTTTGCATGCACTGGGTGAGATGCACCATGTGAGCCCAGTATTACTAAACACGCTGGTGGCTGTTTAGGCAGAGGATCCGAGGAGCTGTTCACTTACCCCTTACCTCATTCCACATCGTTGCAGTCACTGCGTGGGGAGGAACTGAATTAACTCATCCGAGTAACAGCGCAAGGACTGCTTTTCGTGGGGAGTTTGAAGGTTGAGCTGACTTTTGCGCAATAAAGAGCTCCACAGACCCCTCCAATAGAAAGGGCAGGGTTTGGTTATCCACTCTGGATGCTACTCGCACTGTCCCAGGGTATGCAACTGTGGTGCAGCACCAATGATTGTCGTTCTTGGTCACTGGATACCTGTTGGTCTCTGCTGGTTTCAGAGCAGTGATGGAGCTGAAGTGCAGAATCGGGTCTGCTCTGGGGTGTGAGTTTAGCATGCTCCTGATAACTACCAGTTACATTGGATTTACCCACCTTCAGCCCAGGGAAGGGAAGCCAGCATCGTTCCTGCACATTTCCAAGGCCTTTGTTTTGGGCCATGCGTAATCTATGCTCTGAACACAGATGAAGCAATTGATGTGGCAAATGCTGGTAACAGGTTCCAGAGTGTTTTCCCCAAGAAAAAGCAGATCTCTTGGTTCTTCTACTGCTCCTCTACCTTTCCCAGACACAGGGTGAGCTGGGCCCCTTTTCACTGTTTGAGATCACTGCAGCTTCATTCCAGGCGAGGCTTAGTTTGCAAGGAGAAGGTAATGTCTTCTATTAGATCAGTGCATTATAGCTGGAGAAAACAGACGTGCTTTTGGGCAGCAAGCCTTTCAAAAGCAGCAGCTTTACAGCTAAGTCTCACTTGTTCTAGTAAAAGATATTACCTTTCCTTTCAAACCTCACGTTGCTCATATCCTCAAATATTGGTGTTTCTTTCCTAGCTGGGGAGCAGAATGGTGTTTTTCTTGCCTGTTTTCCCACACTTCAGCATCTTTTTCCCTGCAGAAGGGTTTGCTGTCACATTGCTGCAGGGCTGTAGTCCTGCTCCTGCTGCTGGACAAGGAGGGCTCAGGTGAGCTCAGTCTGCTGGGGGAGGAATTAAACCTCCCCATGCGCTCTGTGGGCTTACAGTGCCTCAGAGAAGGTGCTCCCTTGAGCTGGCTGAGAATAACCAGGCAGGGCTAAAGCAGGACTGCTTTTTCAATCACTGCAAGCCTGGATGTGCGGATTGCTGGAACTGCTGCTGTGATGCAGGCTTGCCGGGTGTGCTCTTGGCAGGGATGCAGGAGCTGGTTCCCAGGACCCTCGGTGGCTTCTGCTTTCTTTCTGATCAAGTCACAGACCTGCATCAAGTAACAGCAGACAGGAGCAAACCAGACGGCTCCAGAGCAGGCCAGGAATGGATCTGCATGATCCCTGTCTCCGTGCATCCGTGTGTGGCTGGTGCTGCGTGCGATCCTGCCCCGTAGGGATGGTAAGCGTGGTGCGTCTGGCCGAGCAGCGCCTGCTTTTTCCCCTCAGCTCATCCTGCCTCTCCCCTTCCATCTCTTCTTATTCCCATTATGCTTCCACTGTTGTTCTTCCCATTTCTGAGAGCGCTTTTCCACCACGTATGTGGTTTGCTGCTCCTTCCTATAGGATGTGAGTCAGTGATCTGCATTTAGTCCCTTTGCAAGGGCTGGCTGGCTGCACTTGCGTGGAGCCTATTGCTCCAGCAGGAATATGCTCACAGGAACCATGTAATCCCATGCGTACGGGGCTGGGTGGAGGCTTAGGAAACCTGAACCTTGCTGCCATCTGCCCTGGCAGGCCCCTGGTCACCGGGTGAGTCTCTTCCCCTTTCTGTATCTCAGATTTCCCCATCTGCACAAGGGACAATGCCACTTCCCTCCTTTGTAAAGTAATTAACAACTATTGATGGAAAAAAGCTATTAAGAAGCCATGTGTTGTTAGGGCTTGGACTCTGCTGTACATTGTTGAAGGGTTTTAATTTCTTCCCTTTCTGCATGAGTGTTTTTGTCGTGCTACAGCCTTAAAAAATGGAATAAGAAAAGGGAAGGGGGAGTCTGGAAAAGACAGCGCCAAGGCCAGGAAATATGTAAGGCAAAGCAGAAATTAGGGCAAAGGCTATTTTGCTTTGATGCACATTAATGTAGCTTTAAAAGCAGTTAATTGAAAAAGGAGGAATTAACACATTTAAAATGCCTTTTTAATGATGCATTGCAGCCAGCAGCGTGCATGCCAAATTTCACACCGGCTGCCCGTTCCAGAGCCCAATGTACAATAAACTCCTGGAAGACAGGCTGTGGGATGGAGCCTGAGGACTGCCCTGGCCACAGGCTGGCTGAGCACCCAGGACAACCAAAAGGCCTTTTGGGAGCCCTGTTTCCTCCTCTGTGG